CATTATTCTCTTGGACATTTTGTAAGTTGCTGTTTACTCTAAAAGGGCAAGAAGTGACATTGTAAAGACTGAGGACACAATTAAAATGGAATAAAGTATTTGACACCAAAGTCACCTTTTTATAACTAGCACATCCACTATTTAAATAATAAATTTCATAGAATTGCACTTAGAGACTTCTTGTGTTCCATCTTTACACATTAGCAAAAAACCTTTTAGATGGCCATGTATGTGCACAACTACTATTCTAGCATGACAACTATTGCTGCCCTGTTCTTAAACTGTGCAGGATTGTAAAGCCTGTCCATGTCATCTCATAGTCATATGATGTGGACATAAGATACTCTTCTAGCAGCTGGATTTGTTTTTGTCAAAATGTAAAGGAATATAGTTACAGCTGTATGAAGTCAAGTGCTGTTCTAAAGTTTCAAGGCAGTTCTTGGATCTTAATCTCATGATTGAGGACTAGAACGAAAGCATTTGAGTTGATGTGATGCTTCTCTCTCCACCCCTTTTTCTCTGGAGATTTTTGAGTCCCTTATGGAGACCCTGAGCTGGAGAGATGGATCTGAAAGGTAAAACAAAAGTTTTTAGGAGTGTGCCCTGTTTTCTGACTTCTTATTGGTTACTTCTGTGACTTACAGTTGATACTGTCCCTGGAAGTCTCCTTATAGAACTAAGATGATAAAAGTAGGTCTGTACTAAGCTGTCTTATGAATAATGGTAGCAGACTGATCTAGAGGTGGATAGCTCAAAAATATGCAAATTTTTCCCCATGCCTATGAAGGCTATTATCACTTTGTGAGAAGAATAAATATTGCCAGCCTTGAATGATTACCAAATAAAGTGATAGTGACAGTGAAAAAGATAGGGAAACAAAACAAACATCTGGCCTTCTTTAAAAAAGGGTGGGGTAAATGGATAGACAGAACTTGCCAGTAACTTTTGCCTCCTCTCTCATGTTCGTACTCTACCCTAGAGTAACCTACATCAATAAAATTAGTATTTCCTGTGATTGTGTTCAGATTTTGGGCCTACCTATGACTAGTTTGGCCTGTAATGGAAGTTATGCTGTTTTCCTTTGTAGTGAGGAGGACTGATGTTTCCTTACCCAACTGATCCTTATCTCTAGAATATTTTTAATATCACCTGTTTAATTGTTAAAGCTCTGCTATAGCTAGAGCCTTTACCACAAGCTGTTAGGGGAAAGAAGCCATTGTGATGACAAGTTTTCTATTCCTTTTTACTTTAAGCAATGAAAGAAAATAAATGCAATAAAAATTCTTATTTGGCTTCTATGCTGCACAAAATCTCTGCACCAGAACCTCAAAGACTAAAATGAGGAATTCAAGCATGGAACTTTTTAACACACATTTCTACTGCCAGCCTTAGCTTTATCTTTTGCTGCTTATCTGATAAAGGAATATTCATGACCTCACAATCAGATGACATTCTTACTTTTGGGAATGGGTAATTTTTGACAGGTACTCCAAATGATCATGGATTATCCTTTTACAGCTCTTGCACCACTCAGTGTAATTTCTACTCAGATGCAAGAAGCAACATAGGGCCTGGTGTGAGAGGATGTGAAGGAGTAGCAGCAGTAGGAGGAGAGTTTACACAGCTCTTTGTCTGAAAACAAATGCTATTTTAAACTGGTTATATCATGTACTATATCCATGCTATGCCCAATACTTAAAGTAGTATGCATGAATGCTCCAGTGTTCAAGAAATAATTCTTTGATAAGGTTGTATGCAGTGTATTCTACTCTAACAGTACTAGTCCTGTGACCTCAAGCCAAGTAGAAGATTTAGGTGTTTTTTTTTTTTTCCATTCAGCAACATGGACAATTAGTGGATTGCATCTTAACTGGCTTACAGCTGAATCTAACATTCCAGTGGGTAAAATGGCCATGCTTCATAAAGGCTGTGAAGTACAGACTGCATTTAAAAGGCTATGAGTTCAAGCCCAGGCTCTTTTTATTCAGCCAGGTAACTAAGGCACAGTGATACTTAGTTTTGCACATGCAGGTACGTGTCAACTTTTGTTCCCACTGCAGCCAGACTGACTGCCCAGTGACTCACTGCAGAGCTGGCAGTACTGCCAACTTGTAACAGTCAAAGTACTGCATTGCCTTGGAAGTTTTTGCATGCTTCCTGTAGCATCTCCTGAAAGGCAGCTGACAAATCTACTTGCTGCTTGGCACACCAGCAACAAACCTTAGAGGCCTCTGGAATTGCCATACTGAGATGATTGTTTGGACAGACTTACTGTCTGTGGCTCAGGATTTCTAAATCATTATTTGTAGCTAACTGAAACCTCTGTTGCAAAGTGGATGTGGTATGATTACTGATGTGGAGCTGTGGGTTCTGTTGGCTTGCCAGGTATTAATTCTGTATTTTAGTTTTCAGTTTGGTAGCACCTGGATGGCATAAAATTTTCTCCCTTTTACAATGCCTGGTGTTCTGCCTTATACTGGAAAACACTAATTATGCATCTTTCTATTAAAATCAAACAAAGGAAGATCAGAGCCAATGGCAAAAAAAAAACCAAAACCCAAACCCCAAAAGCCTGTAATACTGAAAGCATACCAAGGAAAAACAAATTCATTATTTTTTTTTAGAGTCCTTAGCTTCCCCTGACTTGCTGCCACTGCCTAGCTCACTCAAAAAGACTATAAACCCCAACTAATTGAATGGCCAAAGAAATAAGGAAAATATCAGTATTTTACCTGAAATGCCTTTCTGACAAAAATGCTGCAGAGTATTAAAAGACTTGGAAAGCTGTATTTCCTTTGAGGTTTGTTTTAACTGCATTTTACACTTACTTAGTTTCATGGGACTACATAATTATGTTACTACTATCACTTGGGCTTCAACAGAACATTTAAATGGAAATCTATGTCTACAAAAAAGACCAGAAAAAATGTTTTTTTGAACAAAAACATTAAATGGTTATGATTTAAAAAATAAGGTTAGTCAGTTTTTCAAGACTGTAATTTTCTATCCTGCTTTCTGGGTTTACTTAGAACTGTTTTTCATTAATCTAAAGGGGTGTTAGTATTTATCTCTAGTTTACATATTTTTAAAGGACTTATCTTAAATGACACCTTTGGCACTGTTTAAAATGCCAAATGATGACGTCGATCATGCTTCTCAGCACTCTAGCCCTGGCTGTTAAATGCGCTGCTATAACTCTTAGTCTATTGAAACTGTTAAATTTTGAAATGCTACTTTTATGAGTTGCAGTAAAGACCTACATGCAGTATGATAGAGGCTTATAAAACTGGAAATAATATAGAGAGAACAAACACGAGTCAGTTATTCGCATACCTTCTAGTGTAAGATTAAGGTGTGGGAAATTAAACTAGTATGAAGCGGTGTGAAAGCCAATTGCTACAGATTAATTAACTAGTAATGAAGAATTCATTGCTGAGGAAAATGGCAAGGTTTATAAGCAGTGAGTGGATATAGAAGAAAATATATATCCAAGGCCACTAAATACTGAAACCTAACCCCTGATTCTAAATACCTGTACCACAGGTACTCTCAGCAGTAAAGGCTGAGAGAGCATTTCAGTGAAGTTACAGAAATAATAGCAGAGTTTGCACTGTTCTGCTGTGGAGACATCTTCTATTAACCATGATTGGAAAGATACTGATATAGCAGACCTTTAGTCAGGCATAGAAAAGTGATTTGGTATCTCCAGCATTTAAATTAGATTTGATAGAAGTTAGAAATAGTCTCCTAATTTATTTTTCTTAATTGTTGAAATAATAAACCCTGATAGATACAAAGAGAGAGTTCCATTAACAAGGAAGGGGACTGCAAAGGAAAAACTGAATTTGTTTTTATTAAACTAAGCTTCAGAACAATCTTAGAAGCTGAAGTAACTGAAGAGACCTTCATTTAGCCCTGCTCTAGACAAGCCTGAGTAAGAGTTCTCTTGGAATGTATCAGGTGAGTATCAGGCTTCCAGCATCTGTTCAATAATCTATAAATGCATTAATCTCAGCACCAAGAGTGGCAATACAAGAATCTCAGAATGGTTTGAGTTGGAAGGGGCCATAAAGACCATCCAGTTTCAACCCCCTGCTGCACACAAGGCACCTCCCACTAGATCAGGTTTCTCAGAGACCTGTCCAACCTGACCAAGAGAATCAGTCCATGATAGATCTCCCCATGCTATTTCAGCTGTTAAATCTGTTTCTGGTGAAAGAGCAAGGGTCTTAGAATTTGATGATGCTGCTGATAGAGGGAACTACCGTGAGTCACCAGTATGTCCCATCACAGGGAGATCTGCTAAATACAAGTGAAAATACAGCTCCACCTTCAAGCTCTGGGAATATGATACAGAAACTTTTCGTAAGTAGGCCTTGTTTATCTTGTTTTTCCTTAGAACGTACTGTGAATGACGGGTAAGGAATGGGGGGGTTATTTTTAATAAATCACTCTTAGACATCTAGGAGGGAGAAAAAGTTTTAATTTATACTTTCTCTCATCCTCTCTTTCAAAGCTTTAGAGAAAATAAAAAATCTTGGACGCACTTTAGTCTATGGTTCCTTGATTTCACTGTTAATGTTCGCTCTATTGTATTAGAGCTTTATCATGTGGAGTTTTTTTCTTTCAATCTTAGCATAGCCACAGAGACTAAATTCTAGAGAAGTTCTTTCAAAGCAAATCTAGTTTTTCCTTTTGCACAGTACTAATATCCATCATCTAGCTCCTCAAGTCACAGCTCTGTACTAAGGGTACCTTGAGGTATCAAAGAGAGTTGGTTACTGTAATGCTGTTTATAGCTATCTCCATCTTTCTGGTTAAGTCAAGATTATATAAAGAGGTCAGTATGTAAGGTCTATTAAGTACAGAACTTTCTCTTCTTCCTGCTTACAAGTTCTTTACTATTGCTCTGTGGCTTCATGCATATAGTTGAAAATGATTTTGAGAGCCTTACACATTTATATTCTTGTGGGATGATAAAAAAATGGTACCTCATCAAATTGAGTAAACATAAAAAGTGGGAATTTATTAACCCCAAGTCTTTTAAAAAGGAAACCTCCCACAACTTGTATCAAAACAACTGATACTGAGGAATATGCAGAAATTAATATTTTTAATTTCTTATGTGAAACCCCCCTTTTAAAATAACTAAACCCACTCTTTACAGTTGAGTTGAATATCTAACATCATTACACTTGGCTCCCACTTCTATGATTTAGACACTGTAGATGTTTCACTTTAGGTGTTTCAGAACTGTGTATTAATGGTGGTGATGTTGAGATTTTGTTACACACACACAAAAAATCAAGTCTTGCTGATGCTGCAATTTTGTCCTAAAGTAAATCCCCTTGATTACCATTTTTCCCCAGCAGCAGTACTCTTTATTTCATTAGCTGCCAATATTAGGATATGTACACAGAACTTCAGCATGTATGCAGAGAAGAAAATACAATACAACCTGCTCATTATAAGCACTGTAAGAGAACTCTCAGTGCTCTGCATGGTGCAAACTGCAGTCCTGTTACAATGAGACTTTGTATATAATAAAATAACTTCATGGAGTAAAGACACTTCAACAGACAGTCTGCTAATGCTGCAGGTTTGTCGGCGATCCCTCGGTGGTTGCCACTTTCTGCTGCTGGTCATGGGCAGCAATGCAGAAGCCCCATCTGACCAAGCTGGCTGACAACTCTCAGCATGGGTTTTACAGCAAAAAGATATGGTTTAATGCGGCTTTCTTCTTTCTGACTGCAGAGGGGCAGAAGAGGATGCCTGCATAGGATGCTGTATGCATACACGTGTATGTTCCAAGTTTAATAAAGCCCTTTCTGGTGTTTTCCTCATAATTCTTTGGATCTTTCCTTGCAGTTCACAAGTAGAGAGGTCAATGAGCATGCAGCAGGTGCCTGCTGTCAGTCAGATTCTGACTTGTCATTCGATTTGGATGATTTATGCTTCCTCTTTTTCTTCTTCTTCTTTTCTTTTTTTTTCTTTTCCTTTTTTCTCTTTTTCTTCTTGTGTTTATGTTCTGAGGAAGTGCAGCTGCTGCCATCTTCATCATCCTCATCACTACTACCAGATTCTGAGGTAGAGTCCTCTAGGAGCTGCTTCAGTTGCTGTATCCTGAGTTTAAAATACGTGAATGAGAATCCTTTCTAGATCTTCTCTACCTCTAGTAATTTACCCTAGTTTTTGTCTTTCCTTCCTGGCTTGAACGGAAGCTGCATGCAAAAGTCAGGGGCTTGCTTCCTCTTTTGCTTAATTACACTCTCATGTACAGATAATATCATGGACTGATAAAAGCAACTCCTTTGAGACAAGCAGATGTTCTGCTTTGAAGGACTTTCCATCCCATTGGATAGGAAAGGCAGATTAGCTTATTGGCTTATTTATGTGTGCAAAATAATAAGGCAACAGCTATCACCAGCCTACCTGGTGATAAGAAGTTCTATGCTTATCCCTACAGAGGCATATTAGGATTAGGGTATTACAACATTCTGCTGATACAGAGAGGCTGTCAGTGAAGCTTACAGAGTAGGCTCTACTCTGGATGCAGAAGTATTTTTGAAAGGCACTCTTCCTTTGAACTTTCGAGGATTACTGGCAAATAGGGACAAAGTATTTGCTTATTTTATTGTTGTCTTCTGTATCCTCTTCAAGGATGGCTCTCCAAGAGTGCTGCTCTATGAGCTATCTATAGTTTTTTCAGTTATCCCACTGAAGCAGTTCAAGCAAGAAAGCATCAAAAACTGCCACTTTATATACTAAATAATGACCTCACAAAAGTAGCAATATCAGGTGCTTAGAACTACCTTTCTAAACCCCCCTTCATTCTGACAAACCAAATTTTAGAAAACATCTCAGTGAAATCAGTGAAAGAAAAAAAATAAACTGTTTTTTTTTAGGCCTAAACCAAAACCACACCTAAGTACCTTAATATTATGGCATAAATACATACAACTGCTTTTTAAACTTTGTTTTGGGGAAAATACAGAAGCTAAAGAATTAAAGTGATTGGAAGTACTTGAGAGTGATTATTTAGAAAGTAGAAATGCATTAGTCTCTCAATATAAACAAACTGCCATTAAAAAAATGTTCTGAGATAAAAGTAAGCTTTTGCAAAAAATTAATGCCACATTGCCAAAATAAAAACTAAATTGAAAATACAGTTTACTACAGACACACTCACCTCTTTTCTTTTTCATGACGCTTATTTTCCCTTATTATATCATACATTGGATCTTCATGTGCCTTGAAAATGGAAAACAGGAAATACAATGTTATCATCAGTGGTTTTATTTCCTAAAAAATAAACCAAAACAACCAAATGCAGGAGGCTTTTATCAAAACACAGAATATGCTTAGCAAGCTTTTAACTCACTGTCAGACTTAGCACTGTTCACCTGAACTGGTATGTCTGCTTTAGAGACAGGTTATCTAGACACATCTCCAAAGAAGCTGCCTCTCCTTAAGTATGTATATTCCCACCTTTCCAATCACAGCCAACTATGAGAATCCCACACATAATCTATGGGAATAGCTAGACATAGATGGAATACTCAAGTTCAAAATAATGAGCTGTACCCTTATAGCACATTTAAAACATTTGGATATAAACAAACAGGAATACAGGAGCAAGGAAAATATGACACATGGATAATGGAAGTTGGAGTTGTCCTATCATGCTATGCACTACCATCACAGGTTCTTAAATCAAATTAAATTGGCATTGCAGCAAAAGATAGCTATGAAGGAAGACAGCAAATAAACTTTGCAGACATATAAGGTGGGTTCATGCCATACAAGAATGCAGAAACAAGGTGGGGTGCTCATTTCTGTTGGAAGATTAAGCAAACAAGTCCAAGATGCTGACCAGAGGTGGGAACTGAAATGTCAGGAGCAAATGAAAGATGTTGGGAATGCACCATGAAGGGCCTTGGACATACAACAAGAGTTTAGTGCAACAAAGAAGCCTGAGGGAAAATGAAGAATAGAGGCAGTCTGGTCATGGGAAAGAGCTAAAAATACTCTTTGCATTTGCATGCAATCAGTACGAATCCAGAATCTGGACAGACTAAGCCAAGATTACATATTTCAAGGACAGAAATGAGGACATAAGACATGAAGTGATGACAGCTTGAAATATAGGTTAATGATGCACAGCAACAGAAATAGTTAAATAGATCACACAGGAAGAATCTGCAGAACTGAGATGTAGCTTCATGTAGCAAGAGATCAGACTTGTAGACAATGACTGGATTACAGACCTAGACAACAGCATTCGTGATGTGGCTGTTCACAGTGAGAGCAGATGGCTTGAAGCAGCTGTAATGTGGGCAGCTCAAGTTTGACTAAACACTTTTTGTTATGTTGACATTTTAATCACCAAAAAAAAAATATAATGGTTGAAACAGGTTCTTGAAGATTTCCAATTTATATGTAAAAATTATTAATTTTCCTCTTGAAGAGTAGATTTTCTGCAAATTAGTCAAACATCCAACCACATCTGTAGCTTTTTCTTTATTAGGAGATTTTCGGCATCTATATTATACTAGAGATAGAGGAAAAGTCCTTAATAAAGCATCATCTAACAGGCTTATCTTCAGTTGCAAGATTATGCATTATCAGTACTAAAAAATACAAGCAGTAACACTAAAATATTGGTACTCACTACTCTAAATTGTTCCAATTTCTGATTGCCTTTAATAAAGAATGGGCATTCCTTATCTCCCGTTCTGTGTCCATAACGTTTACATCTCCAACCTTTAAAAAAAAAGTAGCAGTGAATTGCACCTCTGAGACAGATCAGAAGAAGCATAAAAAGCCAAAACCACATTTCTGCAAAATATTTTCAATCTTCTGGAAGAAACAGAGAGATACAACTAGTATGTTGATAAATTGATAAATGTAATGTCCATAAAATACAAGGCTATTACAGCCTTCAAGATACTGGTTGCCTTTTTATCAATATGATGTCAATCTACCTAGAATTCATCATCTGTCCACCAGATATCATTTTACCCTCCCCCAGTGTAAATGGATGGATATATGATGGTCCAATGACATCTAGAATATTTTCATAGGCTTACACTGCATAACTTTGACTTCTTTTCCCAAAGGCATCCAAAGCCCTTTTGTTGGGGCATGTGCCAGGAATTCTCGTGCGCTTTCATTGCCTGGTACATCAGGTATGCAATCTTCTGGTTTTGTTTCATTCTCCTATTAAAAAGAAAAAAAAAAAGAAGAAAGATAAGGACGATAAAAAAACCTTCATTTTTTTAACTTTGTAAAATTACTACTTCAAGTGTACAGACCTTTACTTAACAGGAAACATATTTCCCCCATTACCTTTTTTCCTTGTAACACACAAAGGATCTAAAATACTTGACCATTTCTTTTTTCTCACCCTTGAATTTTGCAGCCAGAACTTTGCTGCACAGGAATTTAATTCATTCCCATCCATTTTAGTAATTTATTTAAACAAATAATAGAAATGAAAACTTAAAGCAGAGACTTTCCTCTTCCTGCCAGTAAGACATAACAATTACAAGGAAACCTTTACAACACGGAGCAGTTATTTTTTAGGTTAAAAGCATTACTTTATGGCTAAGGTATAAAAATTTGGCAAAAGTAATGATCATGATGAAGGAATTATTTCAGCCTAAGCAATAGAGAAGAATCCTGAAAATATGTCATTCAAACAAAAAGCTTCTTTCCATAAATAGCTCCCCTCTATCCACACTATTAAAAACTGCATGAAGTGTGCTAAGAGATGATGAAAGACCTGGTCTCCTTCTATCTGATTTTGGCATTTCACCCTGGATCACCAGGACAAAGTGGTTAGCTTGTAATGATTCTCTGAAATTTTCCTGGGAAGCACTTCTCTCTGTAATTTATTTAGGTAACTTGAATTTATGGACACTTGAACACCTAAAGAACACGTTTTGTGAAAATCCCTCATAATCCTAAGAAATTACTGCTATTTACCAACCTTAATTAGCCCAGGGGGAGGTTTCTCATAGCTGAAAAGCAATAGAAATATTGTTACTCTGCAGCTTAGCACAGACAAATAAATTGAATAAAATACAGTTTTTCAGTGGTATTGAGTTCAAACCTTTAGCTCACATTTTTCCTTAAATTTTAGCCTATAACTAAGAACTAAGAACTACAGCAGAACATGGATACAGCAAGCTGGGAGACAGCATTTATCATATTAGTACACATCTCTTGCAAATATCCTTCAGATTCATATTCTTGTGGGAACACAACTACTTCCTGGGGATATGTGGTATATTTAATTTAGCTTCAGTTACCATACATGCATAATTCTCTCCTCTTTTTCTGCTGTACCCTTCCCCAACGTCTCCAAACTTCTTTACTCCAGCACTGCTGAATCATAGACATAGTCAACTGAAAATGTTGTCAGACTGTTCCCTACATCTAGCTTTGCCAGCCAAACCTAATACATAATAACTTCATCACCTTCTGTGTACTAAACCTAAAGACAGAGCCCTACTGACCAAAGTACCATATTTTCTGTAGCATTTCTTTGAGTTAACAGTAGATAAAACATTTGTTAAAATCCAAGCAGCAAACAGGTACTACATAAAGCACACAGCATGCACAAGAAAATGCATGTGCTAAGGAGTTAAATGTCAAGGCAATATGAAATGGTACTGGAGGTAAAGAATGCACATTACTTAGAAAGGTGCAGGTCTGTATAACTGGATTTGTGTTGGGGTTTTTTTCCCCTCAAATCTCATCTGTATTTAAACAGATACACTGTTTCCTGTAAACTGCCACCTTAGTAAAAGTGTAGAGAAATCTTAGAAGAGAATGGAGATTTTTTTGTTTTTCAATGGCACAAGAAGAACAGCACTGTGCAAGCCCAGAGTCCCAAAATCTTCTGATTTATGGAAGACTCTTTTCAACAGGACTTTTGAGACATTATCCACATACTAACTCAGCAGGACACGAAACATCTGTACTGGCTGTTCATCACTTTAGGCCATAAGTTTGATGGCATAGGCGATATTTCATTGGCTTAGCTGTGCACACACCCACCTACATACCTATAGGATTGCTAATACATATACTAATACACATACCAATACAATAAGAACAGCAGGGAAAAGGTGGTTAAAGTATGTCCATCCCAATTTTGTAACAATAACTTCGGAGCGCTCTTTGGTGCATTTAATAACAAATTGATTTTCACTTCCACGCGGAAAAGAAAAAAACAAAATCATGTTCTTGTGTATCTTCTGACCTTTTTTATTCCATTAAAACAATAATTCCTTTTCAGTGAAATAACATAAACCTTTTACAGCATCTTTTTATCCCAGTTTTTTTTCCCGTCCTTCCTTCCTTCCTTCCTGGAATCCTTCCTTCCTGGAATCCTTCCTTCCTTTCTCTCTTTCTTTTTGTAGTACATTCTAGTGGAACAACCTCTGCTCCTATGCTGCATATCTCAGAGAAACCCGGGAGAGTCCCTTCTCTGCTTCAACAATTCCTTCATAAGTCATCAAGCAACTGCAAGTGGCCCCGAGGCCCTCCTGCCGACTCACTCTTAAGGGGACGGGAAAGAATAATCATCACTCCCCAAAAAACCCCAAACCCCGCACTGGAAACGAGCCCCAAACGCCGGCGGGGTGTGCTCAGGGCAGAACTGGGGCGGGAGCCGCGGGTAGCCTCCCCTCCTCCGCTCCTTACAAAGACTCCAGGTGTTGGATCTTCTGAAGCTGCTGCTCCTCCTGTCTCTTCCGCTTCCTCTCATGCCGGTCCAAGGCCCTGCCGCCGCTCGCCGCGGGCTCCGGATGGCTCCTGGCCCGCGTCTGGCTGCCCCTCGCCGCCTCCTCCTCCTTTTCCGCTCCGTCCTCCTCGTCCTGCCCCTGCCCCCTCGGCGCCCGCTGGGCCATGGGGCCGGCGGCCGGAGCCGCGGCGGACAGCGGTGCCCCAGCGACGCCCCCTCCCCGCCCCCCGCATCCCGGTTTCCGGCCGAACGCCGACTTCCTCCGGCGGCCGCGGCCCCTAGCACCCCGCCCCTCACGGAGCCGGCCTCGCTGCGGGATATGCTCGCCGCCGCCTCGGGCACCCCGGCACCTTACCGAGCGTTGAGAATAACGTGTGGAGTGTTATATATTTAAAATAAAATAAAATAAAATTCCCAAAAGCTACTTCCCAGTAATTCCTCCCTTGCTGGAGGGCCGCTACTGCGGTGGGGCGACACTCCACCTGGAGTGCTGCATCCAGCTATGGGGTCCCCAGCACTGGAAGTACATACAACTTGAAGCAAGTTCAGAGGAGGCCACCAAGTTGATTAGAGGGATGGAGCACCTTTCCTGTGAGGAAAGGCTGAGAGAACTGGGATTGTTCAGCCTGGAGAAGGTTCTGGAATGACCTAACTGTGGCCTTCGGTACCTGAAGGGAGCTACAAGAAAGATGGAGGGGGACTTTTGCATATAGGTAAGACTGTGTAGTGACAGGACAAGGGGGAGCGGATTAAAACTGAAAGAGAATAGGTTTAGATTAGATAATGGGGAGAAATTCTTTACTGTGAGGGTGTTGAGGTATTTGCACAGGTTGCCCAGAGAAATTTGTCTGCCCCGTCCCTGTCAATGTTCAAAGCCAGGTTTGATGGCACTCAGAGCAATCTTGCCTAGTTGAAGGCGTCCCTGCCCATGAAATCTTTAAGGTGATCTTTAAGGTCCCTTCCAACTGAAAGCCTTGTGTGATTCATATACCAGGACTGAGAGTGTGTGGATACACCTGGGGGAATATGGCCGTGAGTTGGTTATGAGGTGTCAGGGAGCAGGTGCCTCCAGAGTGGAGGGAAGGGTGAGAGGGTTCCTTCCCTCACCAAGCTGAGAATGCAGCTGAGGTCCCTCTGAGGGAAAGGGGCTGGGCATGCAAGGAGGGCCCTATCATGGTGCTCACTGCACATTCTTTACTGTGAGGGTGGCAAGGTACTGAAACGGGTTGCCCAGGGAAATTGTGGATGCCTCATTGCTAGAAGTGCCCAAAGCCAGGCTGGACAGAGCACTGAGCCACCTGGTCTAGTGAAAGGTGTCACTGCCTGTGGCAAGGGAGTTGGAACTATATGATCTTAAAGGTTCTATTGAACCAAAACTGTTACAAATGAGAAACAAAAGTCTGGATATTCAACAAAATTTAGATTGCTTTATTTGATATAGACGGATCAAGCAGCGCTGGGGAATGTGAGGGGTCACCGCCCACTCCACGCTCCATTGAACCTTGGTTTGCAGCCTCTTCTTATAGTATGGTCTCTCATTGTAATCAATAATTTTTGGTTTTTTTACTGTAATAATTTTGCCAGGTAAGCAGTGGTGGTCGAATAAACATCCTTACACAAATTCACAGTCTCTGCTCAATAGTCAGTCTCACAGATAACCATCTGGTCTTTGTAGATAACCACCAGCGAAATCTGGGAGTCTGATCTTTGTAGATAGGCAGCATTGATCAAAGAAAGGCAGGAAGGGCTATCATGAAGTCTGATTTTGCAAGCTGGTAGTAGATACAACTTAATTGGAAAATATAATATTCATAACAAGGGGATTTAAAACAGAATGATTTAATCATATATTTTCCTTTATCTAGTGTCCATGCTTCACTTCAGACCTTAGTATTCTGGTTCACACAAACCCCAATACTTTTGCGATTATCTTTTATCAATTATCACAAAAACCATCCTATGGTTCTATGATTCTGTGCTTGCCAGTGACCAAAATACATGTGGCAGGAGGGAAGAGAAGGCCAGCATCCAAGCCAAAACCCAGAGTTGGGTTTGGTTGTTCTTTCTTTTATTTTTTATTTTAATGGGTGGGTTGCTGCCTCAGAAGGTACATGTTGGTTGTGGGGCAAGGATCTAATGCCAAAAAGTCTCTAGATAGAGACTTTATTTTAGAAGCAAACCCAGCAAGGTCTGGCTAGGGCCATGCTGCTGTGGTGGGACCTAGCTGGCAAGCAAAGGGCAACCTCCTCTTCAGTGTATGATCACCACTGGAGAGGCAAATCTACCTCCAGCCTTTGAGTTGCCTGCCTCAGCTGTGGTCTCTCTATTGGAGGATGAGCAGCAGACGTAGATCAGTATTGGGAAGGCAAAGTTAAAATTTCTACTTTTGTTTCATGCTGAAATTCAAGGGCGCATGCAATTTTGGGAATTGCTTAAGACTTGAGTGAAACTCGAAAAATATATCTTAGAATTCCAGGAATTGAAGCTGTTTTTAACTGTAATCATTGTGGTGCTTCAAAAGTGCACATCAAAGGCAAAGGATGGTAATTGCTATTACAGCACCCTGTGATTCTGAAGTGCAGTAAGACAAACATGGTCCTATCTTTTACAAGGTAAAAAGCAATCATACACATTATTTAACAATGTAATATTGTTAATCAAGCACTACTTTAATATCTATTTCAGCTTTTACTTGGTATCTGTTATCTGGCATGAACATTCACATGTCATGTTTCTCACTTGCATTCAGCCAAGTGGCTGCCATTGTAACTTCAGATCCCAGAAAACTATTTTTGTCCAATTAATTGTCACAGTCCTTTTCAAGGCAAAAGGTACTTATCTTAATGTTTAAACAAAATAATCTAGCTTTTGCCTATGATGACACTAATTTACACTATTGATGAACATTTTTGTTTCATGCACCAAATTTTGTAGGTTTACTGGCCCTGGAAAGAAGGCAGAGGCCATTCTCTTCCACAGAACAACACTCAGCACTAAAGCAACATAACCTTGCAGATACACTTATCAAAAAAATCCAACTCCTGCTCTACATTACCAACAATTGAGAGAGAGACGGGGACAACTGACTGGTGATCAGAATCCAAATTTACTGTGAGTTACATATGCTTATATACCATTCTAGGAAGGCTAGTAATTTTTTACTACATTGATTGGGTTAAACAGACACAGAAAACTTATACATTTTGCAACATTTCTACTGGATTCAATCTTCTTCCTTGTCACCAGTCTTGATCCAATCTTCTTGCTCTGTTTGTTCTTGCCAAGGCATCTTGGCTATCAAACTACTTATGCTAATTAAATCCACGGTACACTCTTAGCTCCTGTATATATAAACTAATTCCTACCTATCCATGTGGCTGAGATGTCATGAGATGATGCATAAGTTGTGAATAAACCATTTTCATTCGTCCCATGGGTTTGTAGACAGCTCCTGTATTTTCCTTCGCAGTGGGCCTTTGGGGAGTGTCCTTTCCTTGGGCCTAAACTCAGAACAGGCTGAATTGCTGGCATGTCTTGAAAAGGCAGACCACAGCAGCTGACTTGAGGTGCAGAACTCCATTAAGACCTCTTGTCTAAAGGTTTAGGGGCAAAATTAGTTTATTTGCTAATCTGAGTTAAATATCTGTGTATGAGGCAAATGCAAGGTGATGTGGTTTCATATAATCCACTGTGAAGCAGGTTAAGTAGATGACTTGATGCTTGCTGGAGGCTAAGAGATTTTGCTGCTGTGACACTCCTAGCATGTGGGAACATGTCAAATTGCAATCACTCCCTTACATGGCCACATATCTTCAACCAACAAGTGAGGTAGGAGAATTATTTTTAGGTGTTGCAATTACATTTAAAATGTCTGAAAGAACTTAGATGAGACACATTATCAATTTTTCACTCTATTTCGAGACATAGCAATAGTAACTATTACCAATAGTTAGGGACGAGCTGGACTGATGCCTACTAAATAGAGACTTTATGTTGGAAGCAAACTGAAGTGATATTATTGAGGTTTTTGGCCCCCCTTTCAGGCCAGTGTCATTATTTTCAAATGCCTTTTTACTTCACATTTCCAACCAATAGAGTAGTCAGCCTCTGAAACAGCTTTCCAGTGTGATAGGACAGTGAAGAAAACCTAATATTATTCCAAGATGGAGTGTTTCCAGTTCGTGAATGATATTCTGTGGGAGAGATGTGTGAAATAGCAAAAGAAACAGGAGTTCTCCAGAAACCTTGTCATTCTCGCTTTCATACATTCTTGACTGTCCTAACTTGGCTGAAGTAAGAAGACCTCTGCCAGTTCGGAGAATGTAAGGGCCTGGCTTAGATGACCTCAGATTCAATGACTTCAGCCTTCAGACAGAATAATTGGCACCAATTCTGGAACTAAGTGCATGTGGGGCTCCAATGGAGGCAGAAGGACAGATCATAGTAGATATAATCCCCTTCCTACCATTAAGTCAATGGGATCTTGGCTGTGTTCTTTGCATCCCAGTGGCTTGGACACTCAGGCTGTAATTTCTGATCAAATGAGGACATTTGGAGGTGATCTTTACTGCAATAACTTAATGGGGCACACAGGAGTTAAAATTCAATATATATATAAATCCTCACAGACACAGTGGTTTAAATGTGTTCTTCAGTTTGATACAAATAATTTTCAGTGCATTTTCTCATCTGTCTTGGAAATGAGCTTTATCAACTTTCTTACCCGTCTTAGAAGTACCAAGGTCAGGCTTTTTTAGTGAGAGGAGATTATTTAAAGGTGTATGTAGCTCCAAAGTTTATTTTTTTCCTCCTTTGCTGAGAAAAAAACCCTGGATTCCTGTGTTGCACACTTACCCAATAATTCAATTGCTTTCATATCAGTCCTTAGGAAAGATCAGAACAAAATGAATTGTGAAAAGGAGAGAGTAGAAAAAATTTGTTACTTATATTTCTATTTATTCTGAAAGGTGCACAGTATCTGTAAACGGCTTAAATTCGTTCTATTTAAAGGGTTTATATCAACTGAGGCTGTGGTTTCTGGTAAGTACCAGAAGGGTATTTATTTGAAGTTGTAGGGTGGGGTTTTTTCCCCTTTATATTAATGTAGTGATTCAGCTATTTCAAGAAGTTAATTTTCAGGGGAAATGTTGTCTTACAGGTGGTGTC